CCCGCATCGTCTTCATCATTCCCAGCTTACTTCTGCCAAAACCCAGCTCCCATATATACACTTCCCCTGACTTCAAAGGAAAGAGCCTGCATTTAAACTCATCTAAACCCTCTTTTAACTATCCAAATTGTGAAATTGCCTAATAATGGGAGTGTATTTAAGGGGAAAAAAAAAAAAAAAAAAAAAAAAAAAGCATGTTGGACAAATTAACCAAGTAAAGTTTTTGGAGGGAAGAGTGCATGTGGGGGTTTCCACACAAAAACGTAAAGAAAACCTGTCACTTTTAAAATGAATAGCTACCATCTGCCAGCATTTTATCTGAGGCAAAGTTGATTAATGCAAAGTGAATGTTTAAGATCACATTGCTGTCTGCCTGAATAAATTTCAGGTAGTTTACTTGGGAGGTTTTTTTTTGTCCTGTTTCTTAGATTTTTTTTGCTGTTCTTATTGGATCGCCCCCTCCAAGTTTTTCGGCAGCCAGAGCTAAGAATAAAAACATTAGTTCTTAAATCATGATGCTGTTCAAGGACTTTTGAGCACCAGAGCATTGTTTCTGGGCCCTCAGAGCAAGGGAATTCATCTCCCTCAAAAGGACATCCCACCTCCTTCATCAGCTTCACAAAAACTTTTCAGGCAGCCTCTCTCCATCACATTGAAAAGGAAATTTTCGCAGTCTGCTGTGAGCAGAGAAACAACAGCAGTGCTGTTATCCTCAATAGGAAATGATTTTGCCTCTAGACCTTCCCTAATTTTTTACTTCATTTTTTACTAAGTCTTTTTACCAGATTAAATTTTTTTAGCAATTATTTAATAATTTGCTTTTATTTACACTATCTTCCCCATAAAAAAAGCAAATCAATTATAGATTCTAAACCATTTTTTGTTATACTTTCACACCTTGATTTATATTAGCATTCTGTTAAAAATCATTCTCAAATCCATTTGATGATATGCTCCCCTTCACAAGCTCTCTCTGACCGGTAACATTTTTCAAGAGAAGTTTCCAGAACAGGTTTGGTGCGATATTAACCTAAATCAAACAAAACCCAGTTTTACACATGCATTCCCATGTTACGTTTTTCCAGCATCAGATGGCCTCCAAGTTCTCCCCCAGCAGAGAGAATTTCACACCCCTTACCCAGGCTGGGACACCCTCTATTATCCAGGGCTACAGCAGTGGAGGGCATCATCTGTGCTGAGTGGTGGAGCTTCGTGCCATTCCATATGGACGTATATTCTCTGTGCTTACACTCGAAGCTGGCTGGACACCAGCCAGCTCTGGTCAGAAGTCACCAAGTTGTTTTAGCTCAGTACATGGTGCCTGTGTCTCGTATCTCAGTAGGGTTTATTGGTTTAGGCTCAACATGGTGCTAGGACGGCCATCTGGCCCCCGGAGCGGAGCGAACTCCCAGCCAGCTCCCTGGGAGCGTGGGCAGGACAAACACGTGTGCGTTTGCACCTCCACAACAAGGTGAGAATGTGGAGATTTGTACTCATCAGTGAGTTATACCCACGAGGCATTTGTAAGCCAAAAAGGGTTTAAGGCCAGCTAAGATACAGCTTGGAGAAACCTGGTCTAGTGGAAGGTGCCCCTGCCCATGGCAAAGGCGTTGGAATGACTATGGTCACCTCCAACTCAACCCAGTCTGTGATTATGTGTTTCCAGGAGATTTGGATCCTGTCCTTAAGGGATACTGGATATTACACTTAGTCACCTTGTATATCCATGCCTTTACATCAGCTCATCAAAGCACAAGGGATCTCTCGGATTCACACATTCCACTGTGCCCCACACAAAAACTGCAGTTAAAACACACAGAGCAACAGACATGGGGTGAAACCAAGACAACCTCTGAAATTATTCAGTAATTCCAAAGAGATGAGACACATCCCATCTTCAAATGTAGTGAATCTGAGCAGTAACATCAAAATACACACTCTAAGTAGCCAATGCTCTGAATGAAGTTTATGTTTATTCATCTATATATAGAAGCAAACACCATAAATTATGCCCAAAAAATCCCACACAGTATCAGATAAACTTTTTTTTTTTTAATTTGTAGGTAATTGTTTATCCTCTTTTAACTAATGTACTATTCATACATACAGTTTATTCATTCCTTACCTGAGCATTATGAGGGGCAAATTCTAGGAAGGCTTCTAATGTAGGACAGATTATTGCAGTTCCTACAAAGATTATAAAAACATTTCCAGTATTTCATAGAAAGATGTAAACAGGCAGGAATGTTTCCAGCACAAATGGATATCTATGTATTCAGATTTAGTGAAATTTGCCCTGCCCTGCTTTGAGGCACATCCTCAAACACCTTCTTCAGGGCGTGCAGGAATGTTTCTGAAAACAAAATACCTAGAAAACAGTTAAATCCTCGAGCTTGCAAATGGTCACACATCCACACAGTGTTATGTTTTCAGTAGGATTGAACTACTCACTGGAAAAAAATTTAAAGGGTTGTTTTTGTAAGATATTTAGGGGACACAGACCACCAATTAATAAAGAATTCACTCTGTAATTATTCATTTTCTCCTTATAGAATAGAAAAAAAAGCATCAGATCTGAAACAGTCTTAAATCTAGTAGATTTTCATAGAGTATTTTTTAAAAACCCAAAATCAAGAAACAACTGCATCTACATTATATACTGTTGAAATATACTCTCCTTTGCTGAACACCACCCCCAAACAAGGTTGGGGTTTTTTTTTCAGAGCTCTATTAATTGAAAACAATAATTTGTTTTCTCTTTTGTAAAATGTAAAAAGCACAGAATTTGTCTTTAAAATATAGTTGTCAGATATCAAGGGGTATATATATGCTAACATTTACCCTAGGGGTATTTCAGGGCTAGAATCTGTTACAAATAAAATCTTTATTCACATGAACAGCTACCTGGGGGGCAATACTGAATGTTATACACAATATTTATATATATATATTTAAAATAATCTAGCAGGGCTATTAAAACACACTGGAAGCTACACTGAATCTAGTCACTCTGTTTTACAGTCTTATGCTACTAACTTTTTGGAGACTGAATTACTTTCTGTAGAGGATAGCTTCTAAAATATAAACTCCTTTCATCTAATGTGTCATACCAGCATTTTACTATCTGTAATTTAATAGCTTGTCCACTGTAATAAAGAAAAGAATTATAGGAAAAAGAAAAGCATTTTTGTTTTTCATTAAATTATGCTATGGTATTTTCAAATCTGAGAACTTTCCTTGAATTAAGAATTTTAAAAAACGTTAAAAAAAAATTCTTTTTTTTTATGCTTTCAAGAATTACAGAATAGTCACTTTGTGCTATGGAAAACAACTTTAGGCTGAAGATCAGACACCCACACCTATCAAGGAGTTGATGCTGTCTGAAGGAAGTTGGGAGACAAAGCAGTGAGTACAGCAGCTCTGCAGAGTGCCAGCAGCCTGAGGAGGCTCTGCTGGACCTTGCAAATCCATGGAATGAAGAAGATAATATCCCACCAACTGCTAGCAAAACTCTCAGATGGTTGAAAACCTTGTCTAGAGAAAGCAGACTGCAATTCCTCCCTTTTTCAGTGCATTTCAAATGCTGTGATTTGGAAACTGCCACCACAAGAACAAAACTCCTCGCACCAACGCAACGTCCAAACACCTTCTTTCCAATTAAAGAAAAATCATCTGTGACTCTACAGCAATTAAAACTCAGTCTGTGGCTGCTGCACATCAATTTATGTGATCATTTCAAGATCTCTAGGCAAGTGATCCACCTTTAAATGCTCCTTCTGGCCTTCTAAGTTGAAGGGATTCTGCATGCTTGGACTTCCCATTCCTCAGGGCTCCCGTGCTCCTCTCAGGAGATGAAGGAAAACAAGAGCTGGTTTAACACATTGCTTAACAAAGCCAAGAAAACAAAAAAGAAAAACTTTTCTGAAGAAATGCAGCACAGACTTTGCATCGGGGAATTAAAACAAATCCACACTGCAGATCTAACACCAAGTGCCCGATATCTTCCAGAACAGCTCTGCGTGCTCCTGTGGAGGGTGAGGACACCTTCTCCCTGTGACAATCCCAGGGAGATCTCCACGTTCCTGGGAACATAATGTTACTGCACACCAGGAGAGCGGCCGTACAGTTCACAAAAGTAACATTAAATGCCCTTTTCGTTACCAACTCAGCTTTAGTTTGTGCTCAAGGGAGGACACGTCTGTTCTCTGATAAAACAATTAGCAAGCTCATCACAGAAACTCCCTACTCAATGCAGGGTTTCTGAACTGAACATCTACTGCTCTGCACTGCATCCTTTGTTTCAAAAGCACTTTTTAAGAGTATTCCTTAACTGCTGAGTGTCACATTTAAACTAACAAACCTTCCTGCTCCCAAAAATCAGCTTATATGGATAGAAGTCTAAGTCCTTTAAAACATATCTACACTACTTGTCTAAAATGTATCTAATATCAAACTTAACAGCATCAGTATTACTTCTCACACACCCCAGGATCTTGAAATAGAGTACAGTTTGAACATAAAGATTTAGTAAGGCAGCTCTGTTATCACAAGCATTTGCACTTGAAATATCCATGACCTTTCTGCACTACTAAACATACAAATAAAAACAAAGTATTTAAGAAATGTCACATTTATGGAAAGCACTTATAAAATAAAGGGTTTTTTTTCTGTAAATAATGTCAATATTATAAGTAATGCAAATTTGGTATTTTCCACAACCTCACAAGAAGGTGGAAATATTTAAACGTGCAATTCTAAACATGCAGTACTGCCAGTTTGCAATGGAATTTTGTCTTTACAAACTACTACCTGGGAAGCAGATCTTCAGTGGTTACTAGAAAGCTTAGAAATAACAGAATTAAAATTAATTTTAATCAATGTGTTTTCTAATAGGAAAGCAGTCATCCTTACTAGGTTGAATCTGATGCACTTAAACTTTCAATTTAATAAAATAATCGAAACATTCAATTACAAAACAAACATTAAAAATGTGCAAGTAAAGTAGAAGGTACCTCTAATCAGTTTTCCTCTCACCAGCCATATCAGCCCTTGATCCTAAAATTTTATGCTGCCTGCGAGGACAAGGTACAAATTCTATTTTAACCATCGCATCTTTGTCAACTTTGACTGTTTGATTCCCTCTGCTCCAACCCGAACAGCACCAGCACAGAAAACGTTTTCCTCTCCTTAAGATGCTCCATTGGTTAGATCAGATTTATTTGCTGTCAGTAAAGGTTGTATTTGCACATAAGTCTATGACAGATTGCAAGTTTATTAACTTCAAGTGAGTTTTCAGGATGCTGGGTTGAGGTTTTTTTGTTGAGTCGTTGGGTTTTTTGTGGGATTTTGCTTTTTTTTTTTGCTTTTTTTTTTGTCAGCGCACCCTCCCCCTTTCCCCAAGATGTGGGTTACTTGACAAATTGGAGTTAAGTTATCTTAGGTCAATGTAACTGTAAGTTAAACTAATGAAGTGTATGTCTATGAGTGATGTCTGATTAGTTTAATACAGTTAGTGCTGGACAGCTTGGGCTGCTGACCTTGAAGGAACACAGATAACATTGTGATGCGTTGGAGGATGTGGTTGTGATACAAGACAAATTTACATAACAGTTTGTCATGTACACTCCTCCAAAACAAAACTGTTGCAAAAAGAAAGCAAGAGGAAACCAACGCTAAATGCCTCGCACAAGACAAAACGGGGAAAATTAATTATAACGTTTGGCTTAGGGTGGGAGATTATTTTAAATGGGAGCCAAAAGCAGGCACAGGAAAGGTGTACATTTACACAGTACGTGTTCCAAGATGGCTTAGACATTGTGCTGGGTAACACTGAGCAAATGCAGCCTTCTGTAGCACAAATCTACTCTTGAATAATGATATTCCTTCCTCAGGAAGTACCTACTCGCTCATGGTAAAACACCAGACCCAGTTCTGCACTGTGACTCATTGGCACACCATTCAGGTGTGCTCAGAGTCCTCCTAAAGTTCTTTCTGCAGCTGCTTGTGCTAAAAGAACCTTGTGCATGAACAGCCTCTCCCCAAGAAGGTGCACAGTCCCCATGCAAAGTTCTGCATGCTGTGAGCAAAGCTCTATCTCACTGCTCCAGACAATCACCTCGCCACATCTCATCTGATCAGGTAGGCCAAGCAGAAGTGCTGGGTTTAGAGACAGTTTGGCTCTGGAGGGGCTGATTCTCACTACGTGATAGCTATCTTGTTGACCTAAATCGCCTGTTTTTATCAGCCCAGGTTCTAGCTGATGGAAATTTGCCACCTACATAAATGTATAATTGACACCCTCAGCTGCTGGCATGTTACTGAACTGGACCATCATTAAGATAAGACTGCTTCTTTAGTCCTCCAGGTCAGCCTGAGCAGGACACTGATAAATCAGACTTGCTAATAGATACATGGGAGGGCACATGAGGAAGCTTGCAGTGTTCACATCTGTGCCATCTCTCAGCCTAATCTGTGAAGCACAGTTTAAACCTTTCAGAATGACTGAGCTCACATGATAAATTTCAAATAAGAGATACACATACATGTATAGACATCAGGTACCCAGATACTGGGTGAAACTCTCATGGACTGGAGATACAAGACAAAACAGTCTAGGAAATTCTAAATAAAATATAGAATTTCTCAGTTATACCCCAAGAAGAAAAACCTGTGCTGCCCACTGCAAGTTCCTAACTACTCCCACATACACCTCTGCATACACACAAGGAGTAAGTTCAAGAGACCTGGTTGAAGGCATAAGTGTAATTTGAGTCTAGAAATTATTCAGTCCCTTGGTTACCTGTAATTAGAACTTGTTGGCACTGTTTGCATGAAATAAAGTGCAGAAGTCCGTGCCTTCCAATGCCACTTCTTGGCTGGGAGTGTGCAGAGGACACAATCTTCTTGTAGCTCTTCCTGGAGAAGATCCATCAGCTGCTTGTGGGAGCCACCATAAAAGGGTTCAATGAGAAGGACACTCATTTTTCAAGTACTTCAGGATTGTCTGAAATCTGAAAATGAAAACAGAGAAGTATTTTACTTTAGAAACATATCTTTTTTATTATTATTGCTATTACTTAAGAAAATTATACTGGAAGAAGAAGAAATACATTGCAAAGTCTTGTAATATAATCCTTAATATTTTATTAATGAGTTTACTTCAGAAAAGGCTACTTAGCAATTATGATGACTAGATTATTTTGACCTTTAAAAGATCCTGTCTGTAAATTTTAAATGAATGAAAATGTGCAAGACTTAGGAACACATTGTATTTTGAATTTATGGGTTTGTTTTCAATGGGATATTTAAAAACAGCTTTACTTTACTACTAACCACTTTACACTAACTCCCGAATACAGTCAATTATTCCATAACTTAGGATATAGCTTATTCATTCTTGTATAGATTTCCCTCATTTTCCTGGTGTCAGAGAAAATTAAAGAGCAATTCAAACACACTTCAGCCAGAAAAGCTGCCAGTAACAGTGATTTGGGTAAGGGACTTAAAGGCAGAGAGCAGCTTGGGGAGATGCAGTTGGGGCATCCCCCAGGACACCCTCCTGAATTGCTGGGAGCTGGGATCACAACCCCAGCAACAACAGATGCAAACCATCTTATTTCTTCTGAATACTCCAAAGTAGGTGGAAGAGAACACTAGAGGAGGCTCAAGGAAGCTCTGAGACAAAAAGCCCCAGAGCTGCTGACAAACAGGATGCAGAATGTGCTGCCCAAAGCGAGGGGACAGATGAAAACCTGGTGACTATTGCTCATCGCCCTCATGAGTCACACCCTTGGGTACTCAAAAGCTGCTTTTCACATGCTTCGAGCAAAGCCACCACACACAACAGCTGAAAGCAAAACCCTGAAAGGTGTTCACCATCCACAAACACCTCTCTGATGGTTTCCCTCCCAGCGCTCCCTAAGAATGATGGACTCCCTGCTAAACTCAGTTACTCAGGACTCGAGTTGGACACTGTACATTGCAAGACCTTACACCCATTTCCTGACCTGCAATTTCTAGTGGTTTCAGACTGTAATCTTTATCTTACCAAAAACCTCTGGTGACAAGAAGTGAGAATTCAGCAGAGAACTACATACTCTTCTGAAAATCTCAACCATAGTTGAGAAATTTAGTTCAATTCAAGATTCAGGTTAAAAATATTATGTATTCTCTAATCAGAGGGCAGAAAACAAACAAAAAGCCTTTTAAGTGCACTGTAGCTATCAAAAGATCAGTTAACCAGCAACAAAAATCCAAACAGTGAATCAATTTAATTGGGAGACAAAACATAAGAAACCTCTAGGTAGTTTTTTGTTGTTGGCCTGCCATGGTCCCAGATGAAATGGTGATGTAGAGCTTCTGGGTCATTACAGAACAACCAGCAAGAGAAAAAACACTCCATGTTCCATCTTACTTTCCCTAATCCAGCCTGGATTCAAGTTATCATTTGCTCTATTAGTCACTCCTCCATAATATTTCAAATACATTACTTGTTTTAACAAATACGTTCTTTGCAAAATCAAAAGGAAAGCCATCTGGAAGCAGATACTTCACTCCATTTTGGAGCTTGCTTCTTTTCAGGTAGCAAAGCAGTTTCTGATCTCTTTTCCACTGACCTAATTTCAAAAAAATCACACTTTTGAGATCACTGACGTTTTCTGAATTTACAATGATGTAACCAAAATCATACTGTCTCCTCCAAAGCCCTTTTGGAGCCTGCAGGGTAATAACTGCTATAAAAACACAAGCTGTGGTTTAGAATCTGCACTATTCACCTAAAGAACAATTTGTAATTAATCATGCTGTGCTTGTCATCAAATGCCACCGAAAGTTTAATTCAAGGGACTAAAGGGAAGCATTTTATAAATTCAGCCCCTAAAAACGGGGGTATGTGAAAAGTTGGTAAATGCCACTGAGTCAGTCACTCGGGGAGGCTTGCAACTAATTTACAAATCATTAGCAGTATCAGTAATAAAGCAATTTGTTCATGAAGCATCTGATCAAATCACACTTCACCAGACTAGTTCTGAAACTGGTTTTATCACCAGGTTTAACTGAACCCACACTGTGCTCTTTGGTTTTATTTTGCACCAGTTTTCACTGTACATCCCTCACGGGAACAGAGAATGACTGTATGTGCTGACGGTAAGAGATTGCTCAGTCCTCATGTTTCCTCCTGCTTAAAGACCCTGACATTTAGTTAATTATTCTGCATTTACCTACCTTTAGGTCTATTAGTGGAACTGCATGATGCAAATATTACACAAGTATTGCCATACAATAAACCCCCTTTGGCTATTTACACTGGGAAACTGGGTTGAAATCGTGGATGTGTCGTGGAGTGGGTGTTAAGATAGCTCTTGATATGTAATTCTTCACAATAACACTCAGAGACCCCGTGGCAGCAGCCCGTGAGGGTGACAATCAGCAATGACACATTTTTTTCAGAGACGACCTAAAGCTCAAAGGTTTTCTTACAAAACTCACTCGCCCCAAAAAATGTATGTACTGCTTATTAAAACCCTCACTAGCACTTGTAGGATTCTGTTGTTGTGTGATCTCTGTACATTACCAGCAATATACACCAAATTCAATTTAGAAAAAATGTTATCATGTTATTTAAGAAGTAGTATATGGCTTATTTTATTCTTTTTTTGTTGTTTGTTTTTTAAATATGATACTACCTACATAAGATACTACTAAAGGATAATAGCAGAACAATGTATGTCACATTCACTTCAGGGCTTGACTAATATGAAGCAACTAAAAAGTCAATAAATCTTCTGTTTTTAAAAGATATACTGATAATGCTAAGGAAATTATATTACATATAACTAATAATTTCTTGTACTTAGAAAGACAGAGGAGGTAGGACATGGTCATCTGGCTCATATTTCACCCACATGACTTCCAGTTTTGTTCACATACAAAAATAACAGCTATTATTTTTGCTTTATTTCCCTTGACCCAGCCAAGTTAAGGTAAATATGTACCATAAACTCCTCAGAGGTCTCCAAAAGACACAGCTGATAAATGGCCTGAGAACATTCACCGTATCTGATGGAATGCAATCCTCAATTAAATATAAATCACTCCAGGTATTCTTTTCCCCATTTCAAAGAAAACAACAAATATTAGAAAAACAGAACTGCTTCCCCTTTCTCATTACAGTATTTCCTCTCTGGAGCCAGCAATCCTGGGTGTTCCTCCAACAGCTCAACCCCATCCACATGGCTGCAGGATCCTTTCCTTTGAAAATTTCCTACTCTGTCTTTACCATACAGAGCAGCACATTCCTCAGGATACACATTACACATCTGAAAAAAAAAAATTTTCAAAGTGGTAACAGTGTCAAAATGACATGACTAATACAGAGGTATACTGAAGTACTGAGAAGTGTAGGTGGGTAATTAGGTGCTGTCTCAAAGCCAGCAGCTCACAGTGACATTCAGCCAGGACTTTTGTCACTTGCTGCAGCTCTACCCCATACTGAAACATGGCAAGTGATGGAGTCCCTGAAAGGGCCACTGCTGTTTGAACCAATAATTTCCTTTTAAAAGGAAGTCTGAGTACTATACAGAGTAATAAATAAAAATTTACTTTAAAGGCAGGAAGAATTAACTGTTCAATCAGCCACAAAACCATGGCTTCTTTTTAAACTCTAGGTAAACGCCAGCTTAGGTATTTTTGTTAACCAACCTAGGCAGAGAAAACCCATCATTTTCCACAATTTATTAAAGAACACACGTTCACTCTGTCTTACATACAGAAGTGTGGTTTCACAAACATCAGTGCAGCTCACATCAGGAAGCCATAATTAGCTCTGTTCGTTGACGTACTCAGACAACATAAATTACAGACCAAGTCTAAATATCTGTCCAACAAAACAGCTGAGCAACCATCCAAACCCAAAGGAATGACTGTTAATATATTCCACAGGTAGAGAACTGCTATTAGTTACAGGAAATAAGGTATATGGTTTCAGTAATGATTGTTTTAACCGTCACAGTCCCACACGTATGAGAAATTTATTCCACCGTCGTATCCGAGCACATGTGGTTCAGTGTCTCGTAACCCAACCCACTGCAAAACCCACCAGGTACGACCTGTGGACATCAACATCCTTAAACCTTTGATGGTTTCACAGAAACACACTGTGATGGCTGATACAGGCAAAAAATTTCCACATTCCACACTGCAATCAAATGTGATTTTCCAAAGGACTACTGTGAGTCCGTACCTTTCCTCCTCTGCCCCTTCTCCCTCCCATCCCTACCTGAAGTGGGGATGTGCTGTAAATACACACAGAGATTGAAAGAGCCTGCACTGCCCTCCCACTCACAACAGTGAGTCACCGAAACCCCAAAGCTGTACCTTAAACACAATCACACCTTAAGGTTTGACCAAAATTTAACTTGTATTTAGATCACCCAAAAGTACCAGTTCTGAGGTTTGTCATTACTAAACTGCAAAACCGAGAATGACAATTTATCTTTTATATAAATCAACTGGAAAAAGCAAGAAATCCTCCACTTCTTTTGAGAATGTGGTAAACCAAAATAGTTCACCTGTATTTGGATGGCTTAGCAGCAGCAACATTCATTTACTGGTGACACCCATAAACCACAGTCTGATCCATGCATACAACCTGAGAGTTGAAAACACCTACAGAATGCCAAAATCTACCATTACCTGGAGGAAACAAGGAATGAAACCTGCATGGATTGCCCAGTCTGCTTTGTTTTCACTAAAATACCACATCTCATTTTTATGCTTTGATCTTAATGCTTATT